CTATATTGGCTTAATTGTGAATGTTCTTCATGTCATTAAATATCTCCACTATCATTTTAATAGTAAATATATATATATAATCATTTATTTATCCACTCCCCTATTGTTGGACATTGAGGATGTTTTTAATTTGACTATATATCTGTTAATTAGTATAAATTTCTAGACGTGTTTTTTTTTTTTTTAGACATGGTATTTAAGGGTCAAAGAGTAGGGACATATGTGTAAGGCTTTGGCTGTATATATCTATATTTTTTTTACTTTCTATTTCAAAATAATTATAGACTCACAAGAAGTTGCAAAATTGGTACAAGGAAGTCCCTGGCACCTATTACCAATATTCCCCCCAGTGATAACATCTCATATGACAACATTGGGTTATAAAAACTAGGGACAATGTAATAGACTACAAACTTCACTTGGATTTGACCAGCTGAATTATTTTTTAAATATTAATAGACTGGTAAGATGTATTTTTACTTACTTTCCTCCTTTCTCTCACATGGCTGCCTTTTGAACTCCCTTCTGATCTTCTGTAGAAGAAGGAATACAACTATATTTAGTAGACTACTGTCTTTTATTGAAAATCAGGAGGAAAAAATGCAAGCAAGACTTGCATTTCTCACCAGATACAGCAGTGGTCATTTATGGAACAGAAAATGGGTAAGTTCTGCCCTCCTTTTGGTTCTCCATAGTCATCCCAGTTTCTTTATGATACACCAGAATGGTTTCCCAAAGCCTGGGGTACCCCGACACAAAATAAATAACACAAACCACACAAAGAGAAAGTTGCTCATTTTTCCTTCACTCCTCTGATTATATCAAGAAGAAAGCTTCAGTTTAGACCTAGTCTTTAATGCCTCTCCAACACTTGCTAATCCTCCCTTTCTAACAAATTGTTCAGGCCTCAAGTTCAGGCAGGCAATAGCATTTAACTGGAATTTAATGACATTGTATTGTTTTAATGTGCATTTACTTTCACCTTCAAATAGTAGCAAATGAAACTGGTTTTCCATTTACAGAAGTATTTTTAGAGTTTCCTTTTAAAAGGAATTTATTTCAGCAACAAAAAAATAATAATTCAACATTTAAAAAAGCATGTGACTATGGCCAACAGCATTAAGATAAGATAGGAAGATTTCCTGAACTCCCTTTGGTGGACTTAAGGGTAGTTTTATAAATGATTAACTTTATGGCAAAGATACGGAGACCACCAAAGCGTTAAGAGCCAGTCAGATGAAATTATAACTAAAATAAATAAGTACACATGATTGACAAAAATTGTACTTTTGTTTTTTGGTTTAATTTTAAATTTGGATGAAATTATCTTAGCCTGAGACTAAGTCTTGTTTACTCGAAGGTAGTTTATTTGGGATCATGGGTTAGGGATGGAGGAGTGATACAGGGAATGAGGGAGAGACAATCCAAGGATGCATTATTGCATTAGGCACCCAGTGGAAGAATGGTACTCATCCACAGAACCTTCTTAACCTTATGAAATCTCAGGATTGTCTACTTCAAAGGCTAAAAAGGGGAAGCATTTGTTACCCATTAGTCAAAGATGGTCCACACTTCTGGATCCTGTACATGTGAGCGTGGAGCAAGTTCCCATGGGTGTCCCACATTGCATTGTCAGAGAAGCTCTGGGGTAGGAGGCAAGAGGTTTATGGCAGGGTCCCAAGGAGAGACACTGCCAGGTAACATCTGCCTGAATCTAGTAAAACTTCTTAGCCTATGTAACAGATGGGGCCGAGAACATTCAAAGTGGCACCAAGGAGCTGTCCAGTTTAAAGTCATTATCAACAGTTTAATGTACATCTGCTCAGAAATAATTTCTTAAAAATACAATTCATTCATAAACCCATTTAAAATCATGTATTAAGCATCAACCACATGGCAGTTACCATATTAGATATGACGTAAGTGCTTTGCCTTGATCTTTTAGAGCTTACAGTATATTTGGGGGAATCAGGCATGAAATAATTATAACATAATTACTGAATTATAATTCTGAAACGATGTGAAAGAGAAGAGCAGGATCATAAACCTAGTGAGAATCAAGGAAGGCTTCCCTGAGGAAGTGACATTTAAGCTAAAACTTACAGAGGAGGGTGAAAAAAGCAAAGGTGGAGGTGTAATTAGGAATAGAGGAGGAGGAAGAGTGTAACTAGAAAGTGAGTTGCAGATGGAAAGAAGAATATGAACAAATACTCTGTGGCACAAAATCAGGTTGTGGGTAAGTCGAAGCAGGAGAGGTGAGCAGGAGCCAGATCATGTCAGGCCTGAAGGAAAAGATTTGGATATTTCCTACAGTCAGTGGGAACCTACTACTAAAGGGTTTTGAAAAGGAAAACAATATGATCAGCTTTGCTTTTTTTCTTTTTTACGTAAATCAAGAGATACTTGTAAGTACAAGCAGCAGAAGCTCATAAATGTCACACAGGTATTTAAAAAGAGTATAGTCTATAATCACTATATAACAGTACAAATATAAACAGGAGTATGATGGGGTGGGAGCCACGGGGGTGGTGGCCTGAGTCTGGGGAGGTATGTGTAGGTCACCTTTTTGTTTATTTTTGAGGACTAGATGTTCGTCTCATTAGATGCCAAGGTAGCATTTGGGTAAGCCAGGGTAAAATCTCCATTTAAAACTCTCCTCCTTGAAAAACTTCAAAAGAAATTTTCTCCTCGAATTTCCACCAAGACTAACCTCATATGTGGGTGGCGATGGAGACCACCTACAGGGTGTATGATTTGAGAAGTGCTAAAAGACCACTCCTGTTCAGTGTAAACTTTCTCTGCCCTCCACTAGTGTCCATCATCACAATTCTGTTCCGCTGCATCTTCAATTGCCAAATATGCTAGCGCAGAGCAGCCCACTGACTCTATCCTGCTTTCCTGGGACAGAGCTGGGTTTTATTTTGTTTTCTTAGGAATGGGAGGGTTTGAAGCTTTTTGAGACCACTGTCCAGACAGGAGCATGGAGGAGCCATGAGATTGAGCAGGTTACAGAGAGCTTGGGCTCTTTTGACTTCATCATTTTGTTTTGAGCTGGTCCTGGTATCAGCTGGTGTGTGCAATATGGACAATATACATAAATGTGTGTGGATTTATACAACATAGGTATATGGATATACTTATGACAGGCACGTGACTCTATAACATGGGAAGCAATCATGGTAAGGAACACAGGACCTGGAATTATACCAGCCTGGGTTCAGATGGTAAGCTTTGTAACCTTAGGAAAGTTACAGCACCTACCTCATTGGGAAGGTTTAATGAGATCATGTGTTTAAAGTCTTGGCACTGGTCCATGGCACACAGCAAGTGCTCCATCAATGTTACTGTTAAGATTACATACGTGTCCTCATGCAAGCATGTGTGTGCATGTGCATAGAGGTGCGGATTTAGGCATCTAAGGGAGATAAAGAGTGTTTAAGAACAAGAGCAAGAAAGAGGGAGCGTGTTCTCCACCCCCACAGCAGGAGTTCCGGCACTGGAACAGACCTTTCTAGAAGGTGAGAGGATGCAGGGCAGCTCACAAAGGAGAGAGCTCAGCTTTATCAAGTGGGAAACAGAGTAAGAGACAACAAGGGCCTCACACTACGAGGGGCTTCCTGATGAGCATGGACTCTATAAAAGTGGAAATTAATTAGAGACAGGCAACAGAATGGGATGTGATGTTGTTGAAGCTCAAAAAACCCTCCATAAAAGGCAGATTGATAATAAAAAGTTAAAAACCGTCTCTGAAATTGACACATATCCAAATTAGGCCTCTGTGCTCAGATGAAAGTTGACTTTGCTCCATCCTAAAGCTCTCCCTTGTTTTGGGCATCACGTGTGTTTGCTTTTTCAGAACTAACATGGAAGAACTTTGAAAAACATGTGAACCACCATAATCTGTTCTCAAGCCTCTTTTTCCCCCTCTTAAGATTTGCCCAAGGAGCTGTATCGAAGTGCTTTCTGCATTATAAAGGAGTGTCGCCCTTATGTTGAGAAGGAAGATACAGTAGAAAAGAAAGCTCGGTTTCTAATCCCAGTTCTGCCCTTAACTCACTGGGCAACTCTTGATCTCTGGGCACAGCTGCCTCTTCTGCAGAATAAGTTGATTAGTAAATGTGGGTCATTATCTTTTGACTTCCTGCCATCTCAGATGAGGTGTAGCTCCCTTCAACCATCTCTCCTCTCCTTAAAGCTGTATCACCATATGACATGGTAGTTAAGAGCACAGACCACCTGCCTCTTGCTAGCTGTCACTCCTGAGATGAATTATTTAACCTCTCTGTGTCTCAGTTTCCACCTTTGTGAAATGAAGGTAAAGAAGAGAGTAGTGTATCATGGGGTTGCTAAAAGGAGTAAATGAGTTAATAGAGGTAAAGTATTTAGAATAGTGCTTGGCACAGATAAGGACTACTCTGGTATTAAGTAATATTATTATTATTATTTATTTTATTAAATACCTTTGCAACTTTACATGAAATATTTTATTGATAAATCAAGAAGTAAAATATAAGTATTATTGGGGCTGTGAAAAGTCTCCAGTGAATAGGGGGCAGGGGAAGAGCTAGGACCATTGTTTTTCCTTATTGTAAAGCCCTTCTGTGCTTTGATTTTTCAAAGATGTGTATGTAGTACCATGACACTATTTTTCTTTAATTTAAAGAGATTGAACAGAAAGATCCCTAAAGTCCACCCTCAAATCTCTAAATTCAAGGATTGACTATGATTTTTAAGGAGCAGTACTTTTAGGTGGTCAGCTTATCTTTGTTATCCTAGCTACCATTAATATCTTTGACCTTTTCAGGAAATCCTTATAAAGGTTTAAAATAAACACAATCACCTTTGCATGTTTATAACTGATCATGTTTCATTTTCTTGGATGGGAGAGAAAATGAGAAAGGTAAACCTATAAATTAAATACTTGGCCTTAGGGGTTGACATATTTTGCCCCTTATAATCTGTTACATAAAGGAAGGCTCCGTAGTAAAGAGTGAACTCAAAACTGCTGGTGGCCGCCCAGCGGTGAAAGGGTTAACAGGGCTGGGTAAGGCGATCCCTTGAAATGGGTAAGACTGGAGTTGTTAAAGTTTTCTGAGCGGCGGCGGCAGCGAGGCTCTTGGCGAAAAGGAAGCAAGTTGGAGGGAGCCTGGCCAAACAGCGGCTTGTGCTGAGCTGAACTCAGCTGGGATTACAAGCTCAAGGTTAGTGGCCCCTTACACGTCCCCAGCGCTGACATCTTTGGAGAGTTGTCTCAGGAAGGTGAGGCGCCATCTCTCATCCTGGTGTGCCGTGTCTGCTTTGCTTCCTAGTGGGGCCCCGCTCTCC